ATACAATTGGAATCCTTTTATCAAACAAGTTGTTAATGTGGTGGAAAGACTGGAAGGCGATATAGCATGGCAGGAGAGAGTAGCATTGCTGCGTTCAAAGATCAGAGTCATTAGCTGTAATATGAAGGAAGACCCTCCAATTATCGAGGAAACAAAGTTCTCCATCATATGCACCAGCTTTACGCTTGAAGGAACCAGCAGATCTTTTGACGATTTAAAGGCTGGAGTAAAGAAGCTTGTAAAATTGCTGAGGCTTGGTGGCTATCTTGTAATCCTTCTAGATGAAGATGAAAGCTATTATGTAGTGGGTGAGACTAAACACCCTGTGCTACCTCTTTCAATGTGCCAGCTACAAGAGGCTGTGGAGGAGGCAGGATGTGTCGTACTAATGAGCGAACGAGACACCACATCCATTCATCTCATAGAAAACCCAACCGTTTCTGACGAAAAGGCTTCCGTGTTTTTAGTTGCATACAAGGTTAAAAACATTGTTATCTAGTTGGCTTTACTCTTCATTGTTTATTCAAATACTGTATATAGAATTTCAATTAGCTGATGGGCTTTGTCAAATCATATCAATTTGGCGAGTGGCAGTATTGACGTAGCCTGCATGCACTGAGAATGCAGCTAATACAGATGTTAGCCTATATAATATTTTAATAGTGATTATAAGGACGTGAGCTCTTGCACTAAACTGTGTTGATAGAGATGTGAAATGGTCATAAGTAAAAGTATATATAGGCATGGGAAGGAGAATCAAGGCAAAAATGACACCTTTAACTTGATAACTAGTAGTAGAGTGGGTGGGAGAAGAGGGCAAGGTATATGCGGGTCGATCCAGTGAAGAACCACTATCCGCACTGATAATAATAATTTATTATTGTTTGGTGGTGCAGCCCAATATGTAAACTCTATCATCATGTATAGAATCTTTAGAGCTCAGCAACCATTAAGTAAATCCTATAGATACAGTGAAATATCTGAATTAGACACCTTGGGGACATTCCAAGTGCCCTTTATTCCCTTCTGTTATATTCAAATGTCCAAGTGTCCTTTATCATAATCATTATTACATTCTGCGATCCTTGATACACATTCCTTGATGTGCGAACTGCACTCCTCGATCCTCCATCTCCATTTCACTTTATCCCTGATCTACATTCGTTTCAACTGTATTTCATTTCCTGGCAGCATTTTGGTTTCACTTTATCTTCTCATGTGTTTGGTCTCTCTACAAACTATAAGCTCACAGTGATCCTCCATCTACATTTCTTTGTCCCTGAGATCTACATTCGTTTCCACTGTATTCCACTGATTTCACTATCCTTGCAGCGTTTTGGTCTCACTTTATCTTCCTTATGTGTTTGGTCTCTCTACAAAACTCAGAGTGAGCATCAAGCAGTAGTAGGTGCTCTTGCCTTACGTTTGGCAAGCACACAAAGAAGCAAATTCACAATGTGGGCCACAGGGTCTGTGCATGCCAATTCTCTCATACATAACAGACAAAGTGTGCAGACTTAGTAATTGTGTTGGTATATAGCTACTGCTATGATGTTTTGTTGGCAGAGAAGAATGCACGTGGTTCGCTAATGTTCAGCAGCAAAAATTTGCCCATGCATAGCATTCTCTTGCACATGACATGGTTGTGGTTTCATGGGCAGGCTTTGTAGTAAGCAGCAAATGGCGTTGTTCAGGTCGACCATGGAAGAGCTCCATGATCTACCATAGTGACTAGCGGCAAGAAAGAAACGATCGCTTTAGGTCCGTGCACACCTACGGCAAAATTGGAGACCTTTAGTGAAAAAATCAGTACTTGGACTAGTACTAGTAAGGAGATAGCGGGTTTAAAAGAAGAAGAAGATGATGACACGAAAATCGTGAAATCGTGTATGAGCGAATTCTCGCGTGGACGACTGAAGGTGCGTACGAGGTCTTTGGGAACATGTATAGGGAGATATGGGCCCGTAGACTATTTCTAGTATGTTTTGAAGGCCTAGGGAGTGATTCTCACCGAGTTTTTAGTTGTTTTGTACGCGGATCACGTGAGATTTCACCCGCGTCATCCCTATATAGAGAGTCTACCGACTCTCTTATAATAGTGTAGCCCCCCAGTCTACCACGCCCATTCTGAACTGACCTAATGAAACCATCATCTGGTTAGCTCATTTCTGCAAATTGCGACTAGCCAAAGTTGAGCTCCTGGAGGTCCCTTATAATATTCAAGAGCATATGAAATTCAATCAGATATTGTACAACATGCAAATACTACACCCTGAATTAGCACTTTAATAAGCATGTTTAGCCAAAGCAGCTAGCATTATGCAGTTTGTGTTTATCAGTTTACTCTCAGATTGGCTCCTCCTCAGTTATTGCAGTTTCCTGTTCAGTAGGTGGAGAAGAGGGTGGAGGGGTGTGAGAGACAGTCTCCTTCCAGCAGAGAGACTGAGCAGACAACTCCAGGTAGTCTGACTCCCTCTCAAGAAGATCACTCAACCTGCCCACCAAATCCTTGAACAGCGGACGAGCATGGCAGTCCAGTGACCAGCAACTCATCATGATCTCATATCTGTTGAGAGATTGTAACCAGGTCCAGTTTTGTGGGCTAAATGTAGCTAAGGTTCCTTACACTTCACCCAGACAGGCCTCATTGTCAGGTCTCTCCAGTCTCTGTCCGGCTTGCAGTTCCTTCAGTATAAACATGGCTGGAATACCAGTGTATGGGATCCTCCCACAAGTGAAGATCTCCCACACCGTCACTCCAAATGACCACTGGAGATAAGTCACCACACCTCAGAGCAGTAGTCATGGTGTGTATTATCTGAACGTACCACATCAGTGGCCTCAGTGTAGATGTCTTCCTCAATGCTCTCAGGAGCCATCCACCTGATGGGCACCTTCTCCTCACTCCCACCCTCTCCTTTCTCCCGACGGAAGTAGTTGGTTCCATACATGTCCTCCGTTAGTCCAAAATCTGCAACCTTTATCACTCCATCACGGTCAATCCTATGTGGAAATTAGCCACAGAGTATGCCTCAACAGCAAGCTGTCTTACATGCAGTTCCTAGCTGCCAGATCGCGATGAACAAACTTCTCCAATGCTAGATACTCCATACCCTTCGAAATTTGGTGGGAAATTTTCAATAAGGTTTTCCTTGCAGATACAACCTGTGGAAAATGTTGAGCTTAGTCAATCTTGAGAGAGTTTAGGTGACTCAACCTGTATTTCTATTGCATCGATGCAGAGCAGCTCCTCTCTATGATGTTTAACAAACTCTAATACATTCCCATTGCTCATGAAGGGCATGATGAGTAGGGGTATGTCTCCATTAAGACATACTCCCACCAGAGACATGACATTGGTATGTTTAAACAACAGCATGGTAGACACCTCCTTTACCAATCGTTCTGCATCACTGGCGGAACAAAGGGCTATACGGAAGTAGAACATGTGTAATTAATATTTGGATGGTCTAGCCAACCATACCCTTCCCAGTTTTGACAGCAACCAGTTCCTTCCCTAGTGCAGTGTTCAGATATCCCTTGTACACCTGTCCTGATTCTCCTTTAGAAATATGAAATATACATCGTATAAATTGCAACATGAGAGATACGTAGCTAACAAACCTTGACCCACAGTACTCGAAAGCTCAAGTTCATTCTTGCTGAACAACATCCTTTTCTCACTTAGCTCCTGTCTCAATTGTTCAGACAAGACAGAAGTCCTTACTGTTAATAGACACACAAGCAGTTAGCCAATATTTTACAAAGAGTGTAATAATCTTACCAACTGAGTAATGATCACTGAGGGTCACATTTTCTTTGTCCCTATCAGGAAGTTAATACTCAAGGGACAGCAATAGAAAAAGAGCCATGCACATGCCCAGAGCAATGAGTGGAGCAAGCAGTAAATTTATAACTATTAACCCTATTTAAGATCTTAAGCACGATCACATTTCCTTTAAGGAAAGATTACACGATTGGAATAAGGTTAAGAGTGGGATAGCTCACTCTTCAAGTTGAATTTGCTTGAGGATGAGTTCCTGTTTCTTAGTCCATTTCCTGTAGACTATGATGACAACCACAATACCAACTGCAGCAATCACTAGCACTAGCGATGGAATTGTAGCTGCAATAGTGATGTCATCAGAAGAAGACAACGGAGTAGGCGGTGGATCAATACATTCGCAGATCAATGGCGGCTCAATAATAACTGAGGTCATTGATCTATTTAATTGCACATGTCCAACAGTCTCATCCACATTCAGCATTGATACTATTTCTTCTGTGTTACAAAGGAAGTACTCACAGATATCAGTAGCTTCAAAGTCAACTGAAATGGTGTAGCATTCTGTTGCATTTGAATTACTTTCGTTTACCACAAAATCTAGGCTGTAAGTGCTTTGTTCGATAAGACTTGAATCTGTAGATTAGGTATTGGGTCATACAAATAGCTAGCAACCATAGCAAAAATACTTACTTGCAGTTCTGTTGTTAGTAATATCGATAGTAAACATCTCCTCAATTCCAGGGGATGTGCTTATAACACATATTGTCACATTATCGTTTTGTTGAGAAATTGTGTAGCTTGTGCGTTCATACCACACACTCACATCTGCAATGCAACAGTTAGCAATTTTATAGGATGTAAAATTTCCCTGTATGGCATGTGTATAATGTAAGAGCCTAAGCGCTGACACGGATAGCTTGCTTCACTGGGTTACCCCAGATTCATTAATCCGCACATTTTTCTCCCGATCTTATGGCTGGTAGATTGAAAGAATAGTGAAGAGTGCATAGTCAGAAAGAAAGGAAGAGAGGTAATAAAGAGAGAAACATCAGCTCTAACAATGGTGTTCGAACTCACTGAAGTGTATCGTTTATGGATGCTTGAATTGTAGCTAATAGCTTAGGTATTCCGCTCAAAGAGGACAATGTTCTAATAGGCTTGTCCACTTATTTATTTCATGGAGATAGTACCATAGTATTGTACTCTTAATTCCTTCTTGCACAGATCAAAGTATACTCATTTTCTGAATCAGGACGCAAACCACAGACATGGGACCCGAATAAAAAAGGAACTGTAAACATCATGAATGGTTATTATGACTACTATTATTATGATTATGACGATAGAAACTTTGTAGCCTCTATGAACAAGGGTTTGACGTTTATGACCTTAAAAGTGACTGAAAGCCCAGTTGCATGGCTGGGTGTTGGAGAATAGCTACATGATTTCATCTCTGTCCCTAGCACTGATGATAGCAAAATTCTTCCCGGCAGTTCACAACCAGATAGTCTCAAAAGCAACCAGACTCGAATATCAGAGCTTCTACTGGGGAACTGCTGTGGTCTCTAACATTTTCGTTAATACCCTTTTCTCATGGGCAATAAGAGGGTGGTCAATATCTGTAGCCATGAAGATTGGTTATGATTACCAGCTCATGGAGTTTCTGCTGCCCATTCCAGAAATTGTGATTGTTTTCATATTGTTTTTGCTGCCCTAATGGATTCATTACGACGACATCATGGTGTTGACGTGTACATTCCAGAAGGAATGGCTATGATCATCGTTAAGATGTCCTTCTGCATGTGTTGTGCCACACGATGTACAGCAAAAGCACTGAGAGTAATGGTCATTGTTGGATTCATGAGTTTTATACATCATCGGATTATGGATGCAATTTCTATTGCTTTTTTACTCTTCATTGATAATTCTAGGGTTACGGTAATAACACTGACTCTGTTGTACGTTTCCTTTATAATATTTCTTGTGGTTTTCATTTTTTTCTCCATTAATCTTGTTTCGTATATAGAGTAAGTAAATCAATTATCGACCGGCATGAATTTTCGGACGCATTATCTTTCGGACCAGAAGTGGGGCAGGCTCACTCCTACCGTGGACAGGTAGGATAGGATCGTCAACCGAGGTATCCTGCTCGAGACAATTCTGGTGCGCAGCGGAGACGATCGCGGGGCGGCTGAATGCGCAGTCCGAACATACTCATTATCGGACATTATGGCGGACAGTCGGACTCACGGGCTCCTGCTAGCTAGCGAGCTGAGGGAAGATAGTACGCGCTGTACGTGTACTGGACGTGCACAAACAGCACAGCTAGCTAGCTAGCTAGCGCCGCGCGCGCCAGGCGCACGTGCGTGACTTCCCCGCGCGCCGCCTGCGCTGCGCGCGCTCGCCGTATATTTTAGCGGGGGGTCTTTATCCGAGCAGCGGCGCAGCAATAGTGGAATGTCACTGAAGAGTCACACCAAAAAATGTTTACAAAATTTACAGTCTTTGTGATGCCTTCCGTGAGGCGAAGCGTAAAGGGTAAGTTTTCCTGTCGCTGACCTTGGGAACTACAGAGAAAAAAAAGGGAACAGGAGTTTGTATAGAGTCAACTACATGCACTACTCAAGCTCCAGTAAAACTGGAGGTCACCTCTGGCTGTGTATATGGTGTAAAAATATATGCATAATGGTGGTCCTTGACATGTAAAACTAGAACAGAGGGAAATGGTGGGGTGGTGATGAAACCTGAAAGTGTCTCCTTCAGAGAGGGGCCACTGGTCTTACTGCTGACACTGAGGTCTTCAATCTCAGACTCTGTACACAAAGGTTGAAACATTGAAGAATGTCCACATTTTCAAGTGTTTGTACAAACCTGACATATCAGTCGCCATGGCAGGTGTCAGTGTAGAGCCTCTGCCTCTGCCACTCCCTGTCTTTCTTCCACGGCCTCTCCCTCTCCCTCTCTCTTGTCCTCCTCTGGTAAGCCCATGTCCAGTCGTCTGAATTTCTTCCTTCGCATCTATGGTTAAGATGTTATCGGATTCACGTGTTGTCAAGAAAAGCTGACCTGATCCACCAGAAGTAGCCCTAGATCGCGAGACTGATCTTGGCTTGGCTCTCCCTCTTCCTCTTTTTACAGTAGCATTGGAGGTCACCTCTGGCTCTACATATTGTGTATGTTGTGTAAAAACATATGCATAATGGTGGTCCTTGACATGCAAAACTAGAACAGAGGAAAATGGGGTGGTGATGAAACCTGAAAGTGTCTCCTTCAGAGAGGGGCCACTGGTCTTGCTGCTGACACTGAGGTCTTCAATCTGAAACATTGAAGAATGTCCACACTTTCAAGTGCTTGTACAAACCTGACATATCAGTCGCCATGGCAGGTGTCAGTGTAGAGCCTCTGCCTCTGCCACTCCCTGTCTTTCTTCCACGGCCTCTCCCTCTCCCTCTCCCTCTTTCTTGTCCTCCTCTGGTAAACCCTTGTCCAGTCGTCTGAATTTTTCCTATTGTTTGTAAAAACATTATGTTATTCACATTTAAAAGGAAAAGCTGACCTGATCTACCAGAGGTATCACTAACTTTTCTATGCACAGGCATGTACATTACAAGTACTCTGGTACGTAGCGTACTTATCCCACTAAGCATGCTTTATGTCACACAAAAAACATAATCCATGCAGCATAATATACATAATGGTCTGTAAACAAACATTATATATAGTTACCTTTTTTGGATGATTCATTGCAAGCCATTCGTTGTAACGATCATCAGTGGATATGTCATATCCATTCTCATACCTGGTACTGAATTTAACCAACTCTTCTTCAGAGAAAGGAAGGTGGCTTTTCTGTGATTTCTGATTTTTTTTGTAATCCTCGTCTTTCTTCTCTCCTTCTCACTCTTTCTTCCTTCTCTTTCAGTTTGGCTTGCTTCTCTCGCTCTTTTTCCTTGATTCTCTGAAGATTCTCAGCACTTGTGAGGACAATACGTTGATAATCGGGGGAGTCAAGAAAACCAACAAGTGGGGCATGCTTCCCTGCAGGCACATACGCATCAGGGATAGGAGAGTCTAAGGACGAGCATGAGGAAGATAACCTACGCTTGGCTGGAGTAAACAAAGGGATGTATGAACACCACTTTTTGCAGCAAGATTATTTGGATCAGTTGGTAAAACGATTGCATTCCGGTTAGGTGGCCACACGCCTGTTGCTCGGAAGCCTGACGCTATATTTTTGGGGGTCATTGCCAGTACCCAAGCCTCACTGAATACAACAGAAAAATGGTGCTTGGTGATTCTAGCTCCTGGATGCTCAACAATGTAGCGATGGCAAGCTTGCCTCCATTGGACCTTGAATGGTCCAAAAACCGCTTTGTCTAAGGGCTGGGTAAGGTGAGTAGTGTTGGGTGGAAGGGTGAACAAGATCACTTTTTCCTTTGCTGCCGTCTTGATTGTCGATGGACAGTAGTGCGATGAGTGGCCATCCATCAACAGCAGCAAGGGACGTACCAGAGGGGCGTAGCGGAGGAAGTGCTGGGTGAACCACAAATCAAACAGCTCCTGATCAATCCACCCTTTGGTGGAGAGACCATAGATTGTTCCCGGAACCTCACCCACAGCTAGCTCGGGAGGAAGGTGCTTCCGATCCCATATCACCATTGGTGGCAAGCATTGGCCACCCGCACTTACACACTCTACTACAGTGACTTGTCCCTTACTCCCACTAGAGACTTGGGCAGGGTTTTTGTGGCCCCTCCATGTTACAATCTTTAGTGGATTGGGATCTAAGGGCATACCAGTCTCGTCCATATTAAAGATTTGACAAGGCTTGTCAGTGAGGCCGTTCTCTTCCAAAGCCCTTTCCAGTTCATCGAAATAACTATCGATAACTACAGGATCAGTAGCATTTGCCCGTGAGATTGAGAGTGTGGCAGGAGTACGCAACGTAAGCATTGGATGGCGCGCTACAAATGCAGCCCACCAACCAGGAGACACATCTTTATTCTTGCCCCGAGAAGACAGTATGCGATTGACAATGGCTAACACTTCTTTCCGAGTCCGTGCACGTCCAACAAGGGCTGTGCGGCAAAGAAAATTTACTAGCTCTTTTTCCTCTTCAGAACTCAGGTAGGTGTTTGGGCCACTTTTGGCTCCCGGGAGAACACGGCCACTTATACGATCGCCAAGTGTGCTCTTTGGCACCCCATAATACTCAGCAGCTCCCCTGACGCTCATACCGTCGTCAACGACTGCTTTTATTGCTGATGTCATGCTTTCCTGCGTCCACCCCTTATAAGTGCAAGGCCTTGAAGGAAGAAGGCTCTCATCGTGGTCGGAAACAGATGGACCCACATAGCCAATATACACTCTCTCGCGTAAAGGTGCATATTGCTGCATTGTAGCCATCACCTTGAGCCTAGGAGGAGAATGTATAAGCCACAATAGACAGACCAGGTTCGCCCACGCGCGTTTTTTATGTACAGGTAAGATGGCAAATTAGAGTGTTTTCGTGGTTCTTAGCCTTCCTCCTTCAAGGCCTTGCACTTACAAGGGCTGCAGAACCACAAAGACACGAAGAATCTGCCGTCTTAGTTGTTAAGAAAATGGTAGTATAACGGCGACTCCATTGGAATGAGCTTGTCAAAGACAGCCCGGCAGAGGAGAGGCCTCTCGACTGCGCCATCGATGACTGTGTGGATCGCGTCAATGCTGACACGATACAACCCCAACGCTTCGGAGCGCCCCGTCTGCATTTGAGATTGCTCAGGTAGACACTGTAGCCCGATTTGCATGTGAAACGACGAGTAAGTGGCTCAGCTTGTCCCAACCATGTCCATATCACTACGTAGTCAACAAGCCGACGGTACCCGTATCGAATCAGAAGGCGTCTCCTATCACTTCTGTATGCAATGTGTACTACTGTGCTGTAAACAGAAGTGTCTTAGTTCTACGCAGGTAGCTATCTTATCAGACCTTTGGGGACCCCACTATCTATTCATTGACATAACATTTTCAGTAGGCTAGAGAGAGACGCCCAGTATATACGAAAGGGAATCACCGGCAATGACAGCACATCGAACACGCATGGGGTCGGCTGGTTTATTTGTTTCATGCCCTGGCCCTAGACTAGACGAGCAGATCACCGCGTCACCCCAGTCCGATCACGGGCGGCGAGCACCCTAGCCCCTAGCTCCATATATATACTCAAATGTGTGTGGAACACGCCGTTGCACGCCCCGGTAGGTGATCCCAAAGACCTAGCTAAAGCAACTAGGTTGAGAGGGCAACATACAATATGACGTAAAAACGGCCGCTTCATTCCCCCCATTCAGCACGCACCCATCTGTCCCCTATGAACCTGTTAATTGGCTGACGATTAGGAGAGGTTCAGAGCCGCCGACTTCGCACTTCGCGGAAACCGGTCACTGCAACTGGCTCTGGCTCTGGTTGGTGACAGGTTCACCCACGTGTGTACACGTCTAGTGCGCATGCGCACTCCCGGAGCGCACGTAGTAGCTGATGGGCGGTACGCCTGCATGGCGCTAAGTACAGTAGCAAGGGGATATACCTCCGCTCAGCTCGCTAGCTAGCAGGAGCCCGTGAGTCCGACTGTCCGCCATAATGTCCGATAATGAGTATGTTCGGACTGCGCATTCAGCCGCCCCGCGATCGTCTCCGCTGCGCACCAGAATTGTCTCGAGCAGGATACCTCGGTTGACGATCCTAACCTACCTGTCCACGATAAGAGTGAG